GGGGGGGGGGGGGGGGGGGGGGGGGGGAGAGTCCCTCAGCCCTAGCCCATTGGGAGCGGCTGTCCCCCCCCTCCCCAGCCCAGACTCACTTGTCCAGCTTGGACCTGCGGAAGGCGCAGGTGTAATAGTCGGCCGGCTTGTTGGGGACGTGCTGCTGCAGGGCGTTGGGGATGCAGAGCCTCCGCAGGACCTCGGCGGAGCTGTTCCGGTCCGGGTTGGGCTGGGCCTGCGGTCGGCAGAGAGAGCGTCAGGGCAGGGGGTGGTCAGGGGAACCTCCCAGACCGACAGTCGCCTCCGGGCGGAGATGGGGCCAGTCCCCCCACTACTTCCTACACACAGGGAGGCCTAGCAGAGCTGGGGGGGCTGGGATAACAGGGGGTTGCGGATCAGGATTGAGAGGCACTGGCAGAGCTGGGGGGAGCCCAGAGCTGGGATAGCAGGGGGCTGCGGGTTGGGATTGAGGGGGGCTGGCAGAGCTGGGTGGGAGGCACCCTCCCCCAGCAAAGGGCAATGGGGGGGCTGGTAGGAGAGACCCCACCCCACCGGGGCGCACAGACCTGCAGGGGTGCTCGCATGCACAGCTCCTCGGCGTAGTACACCAGCACGTCCCACGGGGCGCTCAGCTTCAGGTAGTGGATGGTCTTCCGCTCGCTCAGCGTCTCCTCCTGGGGGGGAAGCAGGAGGGGGCTGAACACGGAGCCCCCAGGGGGGCAGAGCTGCCATATGCCAGCGTCCAGGGGCAGCTCCAGGCCAGGGCCTGTAGAGCAGGGATGGGAGACACAGCCCTGGGGTCAGGCAGGGGACAGCCGCCTTCTCCCTGACTGCTGCGTCCTGGGGCCAGCAAGGCCTCGAGATCCTCCCAATGCACCGTCACCCCAATCAGCCGCAGCCAGGCCTGGCTGGAGCCGGGAGGGACGTGGTGGGGGGTCTGGGGGCGATGGGATGCAGCAGGGGCCTGGACCCAGTGGGGGAGGGATGGAGTGGGGGGCTGGGGCTCGGAGGGGGGGACACTGCGGGGGATCAGGCCTGGAGAGGGGAGGGCCACGGCGGGGGCCTGGGGCCCGGAGGTGGAGGGACATGCCAGGGGCCTTGAGTTGCCAGGCGGAACACCCAGCCACAAAGGGACCCTGGTGACTCCGGTCAGCGGCGCAGCACGGGCCCGGGGCTAAGGCAGGCTCCCTGCCTGCCCAGAATTCACACGGCCGCCAGGTCCCTGCGGCTCCTAGGCGCATGGGCGGCCAGGGAGGCTCCGCGCGCTGTCCCCGCCCCTAGTGCTGGTTCTGCAGCTCCCATTGGCTGGGAACCACGATGAACCCTGCAGCCCCTTCCCGCACCCAAACTCCCTCCCACAGCCCGCACCCCAACCCCCTACCCCAGCCCAGAGCCCCCTCCTGCACCCCAAACCCCTCATCCCCAGCCCAAAGCCTGCACCCCCAGCCAGAGTCCTCAACTCCCCTCCCCCGCACCCCAACCCCCTGCCCCAGCCCAGTGAAAGTGAATGACGATGGGAGAGAGCAAGTGATGGAGGGAGGGGGGATGGAGCGAGTGGGGGCGGGGCCTTGGAGAAGGGGTGGGGCATGGGTGGGGCCTCAGAGAAGGGGCGAGGATGTTGGGTTTGTGTGATTAGAAAGTTGGCAACCCGACGTGGCAGGGACCTGGGGGGTGGGGGAGGGACATGACGGGGACCTGGGGCCCGGGGCCCAGGAGGGAGGAGGGATGCGGCGGGACCAGAGAGGGGAGGCACATGGCAGGGGCCCACGGTATAAGTCTCTCCTCTCACCTTCTCCATCAGCAGCCCGGCATTTCTCAGGTTGTTGAGGAACTTCCTCTTCCAATGCTCGTGGTGCCCGCGTGGCCGGTCGTCTCTGGCCTCAGGGGCTGCCTCCCTGCTGCCCTCGTGGGAAGCCAACTTCCCCCTCCTCTTCTTCGGGGGGCGCCTCTTCTCCTCCCAGACCAGCACGAAGTCTGCAGGGGCAAAGGGGAGCGGGCTGCGGTCCGGCCCTGCAGCGGTCCAGGGGCTGGGAGCCTCTCACAGGGCCAGGGAGCAGCAGAGAAACTCACCGAGATAATAAAGCACCCAGACCACGCACAGGGAGACGGGGGGACAGCAGCCCTAGGCCCCTAGAGTGTGGGTGGTGGGCCACACACGCCACCACCGCCCCCTGCTGGAGGGAACATCAGCCCCGCTCTGGCACATGCAGCCCACCAGCTGGGGCGCCTCACCGCTAGCCTCAGCAGAGATTCCCTGGGCACTGCAGCGGGCGTGGCCTCGGGCCCTGCAGCAGGACGCCCGCAGGCTGTCTGAGCTGGCGAACGGGAAGCCCCTGCAGCCCACAGGTGTGAGCAGGGCACCGGGGAGGGAGGGAGCATCATTAACGGAGCCAAGCAAGGGGCTTTGGGTCATTTCATGACTGCTCTAGACAATGTCCGTTAGCCAATGGAACCCTCTGCCACATGATGCTGCCGAGGAAAAGAGATTTAGGAAGCATATGTTCGCAGAGCAAGGAGGGTCATGGGGCTGGGACGCAGGAGATGGAGGGCCACTTCTTGGCTCCGCTACTGACCCCCTGGGTGTCCTTGGGAGAGTCACTTGCTCTTTGTGCCTCTGTCTGGGGCAACGAGCATCTCTGTGCCCAGCCCCCAGAACAGCCCGGGAGGCCCATTGGCAGTTGGCACAATGCAAAAGAGCTCCAAGGCTGCTCTAGGGCAGACCGCAGAGGGCAATGACGTAGGGTGGCTTAGAGACACCTGGGTCCCCGTCCTGGGCTGCACCGGGCCCGGCTCACACAGCCAGAGAAGGCCCTGCCTGGGTCCATGCCTGCGGGGCTATTCAAAGAGCCTGGGCTGGCAGCGAGCGCTCCTCCCAGACAGGGGGCCTGGGGAGCTGCCGAGGCACAGGGCAGGGCAAGGGGGCGCTCACCGATCTTGGTTTGCCCATCTCGGAAGTAGTTGCCCCTGAGGTTGGGGCTGTAGCCTTCGTCACTGTGCACGTCGATGGGATCGTCTTCTTCCTCTTCATCCTGTGGCCAGGAAACAAACGAGACAGAGGGGCAGGGGAGGCGTGATGGGATCAGAGAAGAACCACGTGGCTCCCACGCCCCGGGCCAGCCTCGGCCCCGTGCCCAAGCTCAGATTCGTTGTGTCCGTGTGGGGGAGCTGAGGAATGTGTCAGTGCTCGGGAAACCGAGAAGAGGAACCTAGAGCCAGCTGGGCTGCTTCACCCCACAGCCCTGGCGGTGCCCCTCAATCCTGACCCGCAGCCCCCCACTATCCCAGCCCTGGGCTCCCCCCCAGCCCTGCCGGTGCCCCTCAATCCTGACCTGCAGCCCCCCACTATCCCAGCCCTGGGCTCCCCCCAGCCCTGCCGGTGCCCCTCAATCCTGACCTGCAGCCCCCCACTATCCCAGCCCTGGGCTCCCCCCAGCC